TGATTGATTGAAATCTTGGAGCTAGTTTATAGTAAGAGTAGTGGAATTTTGAATAGTCAATTAATCTATCTTCTAATCAATTTCTGTCCGTTTGATTGTCCGTTAAATTTGGCCTTTTCCTTTGAGTGACTTGCTGTTTTCCAACTCCATCAGAGAAATCCTTTGCCTTAAATAGTTGTTTACCTGTGAGGATATGGAGTTGAGGCTTTTACTTTGATTAATTCTCATGGCTATACATATTGTGGTTTGTGGTATGAAGGTTATGCTTAGTTCACACACACTTTTGGAAGTTATAATTGAAGTAATCTTGATTCCGATTGTGATCTTTTTTTCTAAATACCTAGTTAGTCTTTTTGAGCTGATCTGCATGCTTTCTTTCTTAATTCACACTTGAATTGCTAGAGACTAGCAATAAGTCGGTTGGGGGTTGTGATGAAAGCATGAAAATGTATATTTAAAGTGTGCTTAACCATTGACATCAGTGGAATTATGAGTTTAAGAGTTGCATTTTTCTACAAGTAATTTCATAAGTGTTCATTCTATTCATTTATGTGACTTTCAGCCAAATTGTATTTGTCCTAATTATTTTGATGTGGGTCCCACATCTATTTCAATTAGGGTTTTTGAATCCTATAAATACTCATCTAAGTTCAAAAACTGAGGGGTTGGAGAAGCTGTTCGATGACAGGAAGGTGAGAGAGCAGCAGTAGACTTGATGATGAATGAAAGTCACAATGGAGGCTTCATTGCCGTCAGCGTCTAATTTCAAACTGCACTTTCTCCACATGTTCATGGAGATGAAGAAGCCAAGGTAATTAAAATACACTCATCAAATTCAAATTCCCAAAACACAACCTTAAATTCAATTACACTTTATGAAAATAAACAACAAATTCAATTACACACTATGAAAATAAATAATGATATTAAATTTGATTGAAATTCAAATACACTATCAAAAATCATGTTTATGAGTGGAACCAATTTTTCATCCTATCCAAGTAGAATATTAATAGAATTTGAATACTTCGCTGATGGAATGGGATGACGTGGAGATGGTAATAGGTAGTTCAGATTGCCTTGAGTCTTGATATAGACTGAGAATAAGGTATTTGGCAAGGAGGAGCCACCCGAGTAAGGCGACCAAAGCAATAAATGGTTTGCTAATGGAAAGGAGTGAAATGATTGCCATGGAACCTGTTAGGATGGTAATAGTCCTCAGAATGTTACTCCAATGGAAAGCACAAGAGTTGAGAGTCTTGAGGTAAATGGTGCGGAGCCTACAATCGGCACATAAGGCTAGAATGCATAGCATCATCATTGCACAATAAATGGACAACATAAAAGAACATTGACGCGGGGAGAGCACCGGGTATTGTAATAAAATACTGAATGCTGATGTTAGGAGACCCAATGTGGCTACTGTTCCAGCGAAAAAGGACTCGTGCGGTCTGTAAAAGCAAAACCACAAGAAAAATTGGACCTCATAATTCATATGGCTCCAGGCCCAATGTATTGAAATATTGAGAAATAAAAAGTGGTGCTTTGTCTGAATATTTATTGATATATCTTTGAACATGCAAATAAAATAAAAATATTTCTTGCAAATAAAAATATTTCTTACTACAATTGTTTGACCAAAATCAGAGGAGATACTACCAGTGATTTTTTTTTTTTTGAGATACTACCAGTGACTTTGTATTTTTCACGCGTCCTTTTCATAAAAAAAAAAAAAAAACAAATGACACCTTGTAAATTATATTTAAATAAATTTGTCTTT